GAAGATATACTGTCGGTGTTACATGTCCACTGTCTGTTTGCACCTTTGTTTAACCTAGTTTCCTGTTTCCTGTCTCTTTTGTAGTTATTTTGCCTCCTCTCATTACTCAGATTGTGTAGGTGTGTCTCGTTATTACTCAGTGTATATATGTTTGCTGTGTTCTTTAGTCAAGTCTCATATTTTGTGGATGTTGTTGGTGTCCTCAGTTCTGCTCTTGTGATTCCTAGTTCCAGTTCTGCTCTTGAGATTCCTTGGTTTCTCTTCCTTGTTTTTTTAATTATCGTATATTTGATTAAAGTTGCATTTTGATCTTACTCTCCTCCCTCGCCTCTGAATTCTGACCAAAGAATGGATCCAGCATCAAGGTTAATCTGTCTCTGTTAAAGCAGTCGGTCCCTTGAGGTCCACGTATACAACAGAGACTTTTTGGACATTCCCTATATCTCACTGATTTCCTGGACTTTTCTCTCGTTGATCTTTACTGCTATGGAGTAAACAAGCATCTCCAATCACTGCTTATCCATGATGCTCCTCAAGGGTCGCTGTGTGAGTTCCTGGACACAATCCGGGAGTAATGAATGGAGCCAAAAGAGACGGGAAACTGGACTAAATAAAGGTTCAAACAGACAGAGAACATGTAACGGTTTCACCAGGAAGTGACCATGAAATCAGTTCTTCAGAATCTTTCAGTTTATCAATTTGTTCACATTCTCTGTTTGAAATCATGACATGCTTTTAATGTACTAAAGTCACATTTAAAGCTAAAACACAGGAGTTCCCACACATTTGAGAAATTGATTTTCACTTTCCCAAATATTAGTGTTTATTGTTTAGAGCTAATATTTTAGAACTATAGAAAAAGATGAATTCACTCTTGCTGTAGGTTCTATCATTACACCACTAGATGGCGACCAATGACTGTCTTTGGTGTGTTGAGAGAGACCTGGACCCCTGCCTGTAACCCTCAATGAAACCAGAGTCAGTCATACCACTAGTAAAGGATTTCACCCCCCAAAAAAATCACTTTGTCACTTATAAAACAAATACTTTTAGACTTATCTCAATATTGTTGTACTGTAGATACGGCTAGCAAATTGCTGTCTTGGTTTTGTATGTTAGGTTTTTTTGTGTCTGAGTGAGAAATGAATTCATGTCATTTGACAGATGTAGTCACTGAATGCATTTTGTGCCAAAGCAATGACAGCCTAAATGATCACAGTTTAGCTCACATAGACTGATGCTGTGTGCTCACTGTGTGAAGACTGGAGAGTTTTGGAAAAGTGACTTTTGGAAAGCGAAGAATTGAACAATGGGTCAAAGGCATTGTGAAAAAAAAAATGTAACTGAAATACATTGTTGCAAGTCCCAGAGCAGGCCTAACGTGGGCAAATGTAAGTTTTAATATTAAATTTTTTGTTGTTTTATCATGCTCTCAATAAACTTTCTAGACCTAATTTTCTAAAGAGAAAAAAACTGATACACATTTCTCTGGTCATCTGTCAAACATTAACTATCTTGTCTAGGGCTCTTAAGCCAGTCCCTTAAAATACGGAATCGTCCCGTATTTAAAGGTAAATTTATGCGTACCGTATCAAATCGATACGATTTGTCCCGTATGTTACAAAGGCCAAGGATTTTGCAGGGTGGATACTAACAATTATAATGAAACAAATTTCACAAGTATTAGAGAAGCTTATTTGCGTGGCTCACGTCCGCCCTTTGAACACAAGAGGTTCTCCAGATGTAGGGCTGAATGGAAAAGTTATCAATAATAGGTCTGTCCACTAACTAATGATGAAATATACATAGCCTAAAAAAATCATAATATTTGCCATATACAATTTGGCACTTAAAAAAAGTTTAAAAAGTGCTAAATTATTAAGATAAAAATGGAACAAATAATTACATAATAATGTAGTCCTCCTAATTTAAGCAAATTAATAAAAAAAAAATAGAAATTCATCCCATCCAGGTAACAGCTGCAGAACTGTCAAAAAATACCAATAATAAATAATAATTATAAATAAAATAATCAAATTAAAAATAACAATATAAATGTGTTCTGTTGCAAGTTTACATACTTGTGCACGTTTTATGTTGAGCACGTTACTGCAGATGGTTTTAATGTATGATTTCTACTCTTGATTATTTTGTCTTGTCTTTATCTCATCATGGTATTCATTAGTGATGGCGAAGTGAAGCTTTCATCACAATTGTATCGGGGAAAGGTTCATTACTCGAAGCTGTTAAAACGGTTTGTGCTGTGGCCATCTAGTGGTCATAAAAATAAACAACACCTTCCAAAGTGTTATGTTCCATTACAGCCAGTGGTTTCACATCTGGTTCTACAACTGATTTTTTTGTTGCATTATATTCTATATAAATAATGTTTATTGTCAAAGTCGGTGTACTGGCACTAAAATAAGTCAAATAAATAAAGCATAAATTCATAAATCAAATCTATGATCTGTTTATTTTAACTCTGCCTCAGCCCTTAGACTGATATTTTACGGCCAAAATTCATTTTTGAGCTCAATATATAAATTACGATAAAAAAAAAACAATGCCAACACATTATAATGTAATATTAATGTAAAGGAAACAGCGCTGAGGTTCGCTTCATTTGAAGCAGTCACGTGGTTTTCAGGCGAATGAAGCTTCGGGCGTCACAGATCACGTGCTTTTCTCAAACGAATCAAGCTCCGATACAGTGCTTTAATGTGAAATGTGTTGTTTTATTTATGCAAGCTTCGAAGCTTGGTGTTGAACGTAACATCACTAGTATTCATGTGACATTTTTTATTTAAGAAAAACTGCATGTGGAAATCGAATATTAAAGCTGTTAATCCATTGAATCTAAAAACAAAAACAAAACAAAAAAACACGAAAAACAACAAAATTCACCCATGCGCTGCCCACTGCTACCACAGACCATAGATATGTATATATATATATATGCCACAGACATCTACGAAAGATATATCGTTGTAAGGGTTGCCAGATTGTCACAACAAAACCCGCCCAAATCTAGTATTGCTACTCAATACTAGACCGATCGCGTTTCGAGGGGGGAGCCCCGTTAAAAATCGGTAAAATACAGGTTTTTTGGCGGAGTTTCTCTGGTACAATTCGCATTCCATGGGCTAAATATCACGTTGTTGTGGGCGCTTCACAATACAACCCGCGGCAACAGTGTTAAAGCAGACTAATAAGGGACTTGGCAACACTACGCCCAAGTATCGTTTGCTTACAAATGACGTGAGCGGTTCAAAAATGCGCTTGGGAACCAATCAGGAAGAGCCTTGCTTGTGACGTTGCCACGAGTCCCTCCCACGAGACGCCATGTTCTCTGTGCTCGATCATAACTGCAAATTGCATATTGCAAATATACACGGATGGCTCTAAAGATCCTGAATCTGGGCGTTTTACCATCCGAGAATATTGTATCTGTTCGCTACTTCAGCATACGGAATGCATATTTACATCAATAAGAAAATGAGGTAGGTTAATAATACAAATATGACGTAGATTAAAAAATAATCGACGTCCGAAAGTGAACAAGGATTTTCTAGTCTGGGACCGCCCCCTTCACTGCAATCGGGAGGAAAATACATGCTCTGCCTTTTCTTTCACTTACACAAGCGCTGTGAAGTGTGTGTGTGTGTATGTGTATGTATGAGTGTGTGTGTGAAGTATACTATATTTATAGTGGTTAGTATTTTGTATCTATGTGGTAAGTATACTACATTTACTAAAAGTTTATCGGTGAGTGTAGGATATTTAGGTGGCGATAATGCGGTGACGGCAAATATAGGTCTCTGCAGGAAAGTAATGGGCGAGAACAAAACGGGGACGTTTTCGACCATGTTACCTGATTGGTTTAGGACGATACATCCAGCTGCAGAACCCTTACGTCACAGCACAGCAGCGTCAAACCGGAAGTGGGCGGAGCAAAAGTGATCTTACTAAGCATAGCGCCACGTAGTGTTTTGAATCTTATATCTACGTTGATGTCAAGTCAGCATTTTATTATAACGATTTATAACGATCAGATGATAGATAGATGAGGTAGATAGACAAAACGAAGCTTGAGGATTTGAACATTTGATTTAAAAAAAAATGTTTAACAATTATTTTTCCATTATACACATTATCATACATAAGTAGCAAAAGATAAAAAAATAAAACAAACAAATGTTAAAGCAAAACAGGCACACATTTAACAATAATTATCAAAATTGACAATAAAGAAAATACACTATTTACGGAAAGATATTATAAATAATAATAATAGAGACTTTGGTGGCCTTGAAGTTTTACATTTTACAGATCTTAATAATGTGTTTAAGATCAAATGGATAATTGAATTCATTACAAATAAAGATAGTGTATGGAATGTTTTCCCCAATTACATATTTAACTCTTTGGGTGGCATTAATTTTCTTTTAAAATGTAATTTTTCGGTTGAAAAAATCCCAGTTAAACTGGCAAACTTTCATAAGCAGGCACTGCTGGGTTGGAACAGTACCTGTTAGAATATTTCACGCTCTCTGCCAGAATGTGTTCTCTCTTACCCTCTGTCCCTCCCTTTCTCTCCTCTTCTCTCTCTCGCGCTCTCTCTCTCTCTCAATTTCAATTTTCAATTTCAATTTAAGAGTGCTTTATTGGCATGACAAAAATTATACATTTGTATTGCCAAAGCAATTGCAGCTGGACTGCTTACAAATAGTACACATATGTATTAACAGAAAGAAAAAGAATAAT